GGGGGTGGGAGGGAGGGGGAGGTGTTTCTAAAATGACTTAACTTGTGTCATTTGGGGCTTATAACACTGTTCATCATCATCATCATCATCGTCATCATCATCATCATCATTGTCATCCCTCCATGTTCCCAGCGGACTGGGAGTACAACCCATCGACTCCCTCGCGGGAGAAGGAAATGCACGAGGACTGGCGCCGTTTCGCCAACACGCTGGGACACAAGGAGCTGCTTCGCTTGGACCTGCTGGGCTACAACTACAGAGTTCCTCTCCCCGGTGCTGTGTGAGTCTCTGGAGTATCCCTTTGATTGCGCTGTAGATAAGATAAGATAGGATAAGATACATCTTTATTGTCCGGATCCTGGCACATTGGTTTAGTGTTTCACCACGTTTACACACACACACGCACACATATACACACCCACATACACACGCATGCACACACACACACACACTCACACACGCATACACGCACAAACCACACACACACTCACATGCACACACACACACGCACGCACGCACACACACACGCACGCACACACACACACGCACGCACACACACACTCACACACACACACACACGTAGGCTTACAATCACATGCGTAATGTAAATGAGCTGCAATATAAACAATAATAATCGTAAGCTAGATACACACTCAATGTTATTTTGATACATGTTGACATATCTCATACGTTTCAATAATCTGCTGCCCATTAGCATATCTCGTATGGTGGCTAAAACCCGTGATTTTTGGATTGTTCTACGCTGATCTGGTCGTTGGAGATGAGTTCATCTCATTTCTTTTTCCGCTGATATATCTTTTACGGCTTGGGATGCTTAATGTTAAAAACAATCAGGAAACGACAAATGCAGTTTTTGGGACACTTAAATAGACATAAGGGTCTTGAACATCTAGCTCTCATTGGCAAAATTGAGGGCAAGTGAGGCAGGGGTAGGCCCAGAACAACATGCTTAGGGAACCTAAACAAATGAGTAACAGGGAAAGATCAGGGAAAAGTAGCTTTTTTGAGAGCATCTGAGCAAAGGAATGAATGGAGAACCATGATTGCCGATGTCTGTTGCAGATTTGGCACTGGATGATGATGATGATGATATTTTTTTACCAATCTGTCTCTTATAATAAGCAAACAAACATTGATTAAAGATTGTGATCTGTGTTGTTTTGCACTCAGTTGAATGTTCCTGAGCATGTGGACCCCCCGGGGCAGTGCCACTGACTGTAGTGTCTTTGTTAAAGCCATTCCCAAAGGGGAGACAATGCTCGTTCAAGAACAGTAGTATTGTAAATGGGCTGATTCATCAATGCCACACTCACATAACTATGCCTGATCTGCAACAGGGAACTGCTGCTTTTTCTTTCCTAATCCTCACTTTTGTCATTTCCTCTACTTCTTTTGTATGTTTGTCACACTCTTGTGACCTGCTATTTCCGGGGTGCCTTGATAGTCGAAGCAGACCTTGTGCTGTTGAGGCTAGAAAGGTGAGCAGAGTAAGTCTGATTCCCTGTAAGGACTTCTCTGTTGACACCCACCCCTTGGCGCTCATATGACCTTATGCAGTTGCGAGCGCCATAAAACCCTCCACTAAAAAAAAAAAAATAAGCGTGTGGGGTGCATATATTGTCAGCAGTCAAGGGGTTCATAATTAATAAGGATAATAATAAGGAACATTTGTATAGTGCATATCTGTGCTCAACAGCAAGCTCTATGGCCGAGCTCATTGGGCTCTTGGACAACTGTCACTGGCTCTTGGCATTTACATCTCCCAAAAAAGTCTCTGAACCACTTTTTCTGGCAATATCTCACACCTCCACAGATTAATTTTAATTGAACTAAATATATGTCACGTTTGTCATCCTCTTGATTAACTTAAAAAAAAGTTACCATACTATTTTGAAAGGGGCTTTAAAGGGATCCATACTGTATTTACAATAACCCTATCCGTATGCCGTGTTTTACTATTGTATCCATACGACGTGAGGAACTGTGCCACCACTTTCAAAGAGGAAATTCACTGGTTAATCCGATCCGTACGCTTTGCATAGCAGTCTGTCAAAAGGATTTTTAAGAAGTACTGAAAGTTTTAAAGAGATCTTTGTACTAGAAGTATTCTAAAATATGAAGAATACAACCCCGGGGGTACAAAATTACCCCTGGGCGTATGGATAGGGTTAAGTAACTGTAGAATGTGACAAATTTTTCTTTCAACATATGTGACCTCTGTCCAAACCACCACGGAATGTCTCAACTTTCCTAACTCGCTCACGTACTAGTCCCCCCCCCCCCTTCCCAACCTCTCCCCCTCCCTTTCCCCTTCATTCTCAAAGCTTAGATGTTTATTATGTCTTAAATATTGAAAAGGTGACATTATATGAAGGGTATTACATTGGCTTTTGTGGTGTTGTTTCTCTTAGTTCTTTTTTATGGATTTGTCAGCAAGTTATTCCCCGCTCTTTGCCTCAACATTTCTAGATTTGTATTTTCAAAGCCAGTATATCCAGTTTCGTAAAATGTTCAGGAGAGCCAAAAAAACCACATCTTTGCCTCTCAACAGCCTGTTGCTTTGAATATATTATCCTCAAAACGCTTTCCTGTGGGTAGTTGGGGGGTGCTCTGGTGTGGTTTGCTCCTTCTTTCCTATCAATCATCTATCGTCTTTATCTCCCCTCCTCCTTTGTTGTGTTTTTTACTCTCTTATAACCCCTCTAATCTTCTGGCGCTCATATGACCTTATGCAGGTGCGAGCGCCGTAAAACCTCTACTAAAACTAAAAACTAAAACGCTTTCCCTGCCTTATTTATTATCATATCGAGACCGGACTAAGGAAGAAAAATGCGCTGTGTTGTAAACTGTCAGGTGGAATCAGTAACTCCATTTCTTCTTCCAAAACTGGATATATGTGTCACGGCGCGGTGGAATCAGGCGCTCGACAATTTTTGGGCATATGGGGTTATCGGTATCATCTTTAAAGCCTGTTCATTTGCCATTCTTTTGGTGAAAAAAATGTCCATATATGTTGAATAGAAGTCTAAATTTTACTATTTGCGATTGAAGGAGGTCAGGGTCACCTGGTTTCAGAGACAAAATTAGCGAGAAAATGGCGCCAAAGTTTGGCCACTTTCATAGCCTGAGAGTCATTGGAAACTGAAAATTTACATTTTTGTGTGCATTTACTCATTGTTTTTCAGTAAAATCCACACAAAAATGTGTTTTTAAATGGTCATAACAGGTGTTGAGCCCAAAAAAGAAAATTATTTAAAAATTGCCCATTGCCCCCCAAAAATGCTGATTTCTTGCATTTCATCATTTTGATGAGCGCCTGATTTCACTATGATGTCTCACATATAGTATTTCAAAATAAAACTCCAGAATTGTATAACTGCAAACTCTTTCTAGTTGAAATCAGAGCGATTTAGCCTCCGTCATATCAGGTTTAAGTTTCGGCTGTGCCCAATTACTGAGACTTTGTTGTTCCTTTTCCAGATTTGTTGATGGAGAGCTGAGAACGAGCGTGGAGTTCCCAGGTCTGGGGGTAGAGGTGTCCTTAGACCTCGGGGAGTCCTGGACTCTGTCCAAGCCAGGAGACAAACCAGTTAGGGGCAGACAACCCATACTGATACGTACCAGGTAGGACTTGTTGGGGCCAATTGGAACTCAGTGGGTGCTGACTAGTAGTACTAGTGTGTATGAAAGGGGG